AGAGGAAGAAGAAAAAGGAAGTTGAAAAATTTCAGGCCCAAGAAAAAAAGAGAGTAAAAGAAGAAGATTTTGAAGAAGAAAGAAAGAAGAAAGAAGAAGAATTTGAAGAAAAAAGAAAACCACCCAAAAAAAAAGGGGGGAAAGGAGGGGGGCGCCCGTCAGCAAAAGCGCAAAAAAAAAAAAAAACAAAAAAAAAAAAAAAAAAAAAAGAAAAAAAAGGAAAAGTACCTGGACAGCTGCGCGCGTGGCTGCCACGCGCTTATGCGTGACGCGTGCGTGTGGGCCACGCGCCTGCAGCACCACTCCTTGTCAAATCACCATCACATCTCTTTTATCTCTCCACATATTAAAGGGACCGTACCTCTCCCATAAAAACATTGGCAGGTTTTTACTCTCTCTCCACAATAAATGCGCACGTCTCCCCATGCAAATCCAACTTACATCAGCAGACTACCGCGCGGCTTACAATGCGCGCGCGAGTCCATGCGCGCATACGCTCTCCACCTAATCTCGCGTAATTTTTTACGCGTTTCATCAAATCGCGAACGAATTTCAACGCGCTCCACCAAATTGCGCGCGCTCTTCAACGCGCCTCGTCTAATCGCGCGCGCTCTAGAAAGGGTAAATAAAAATTATTCTTCCACACCACGCCAAGGATTAACGGAACACTACAACACCGATCTACTCTCGAAACGATTCGGTACTCTTTTCGACTTGATTCCGACATCGAATCGAGACTGGGGGGCTTGCGAGACAACTCCCACGAGGAGACAACTCGCTCGGTTCTACACAACCCATAGCGAGACAACTCCCACGATGAGTCAACTCGCTCGGTCCTACAACTCATTTGAGAGATAACTCCCAAGAGGAGATAACTCGCTCGGTAATACCAACCCGCAGCGAGACAACTCCCAAGAGGAGACAGCTCGCTCGGTACTACCAACCCGCAGCGAGACAACTCCCACGAGGAGCCAACTCCCTCGGGTCTACGAAACCATAGCGAGATTACTCCCACGAGGAGACCACCCGCTCCGTCTTATAACCCGTTGCGAGGTAACTTCCACGAGGAGCCAACTCCCTCGGGTCTCAAAACCACAGCGAGATAACTCCCACGAGGAGACTATTCGCTCCGTCCTATATCCCGTTGCGGGACAACTCCCACGAGGAGCCAACTCCCTCGGGTCTACGAAACCATAGCGAGATAACTCCCACGAGGAGACCACTCGCTCCGTCCTATAACCCGTTGCGAGATAACTCCCACGAGGAGCCAACTCCCTCGGATCTACGAAACCACAGCGAGATAACTCCTACGCGGAGAGAATTCGCTCTGTCCTACACCCGCAGCGAGACAACTCCCACGAGGAGCCAACTCGCTCGGTACTACGAACCCGCAGCGAGACAACTCCCATGAGGAGCAAACTCGCTCGGACCAACAACCCCTTGCGAGGAAAATCCCACGAGGAGAGAAATCGCTTAGAGCGACATCAATCCGCACACTCGTCAGTCGCGCGTCATCTAATGATTCTACAACTTCGCTGCGAGACAACTCCCATGAGGAGACAACTCGCCCGAAACTCACTATATAATCGCAAGCTCAAGTTAGCACGATTACAACCCTAGAAACACTTAGAAATATTATGGGAATCTATATAGCCTGGCCAGCTTGATTACTCAAATTTATCTACTTGTTTTCGATGGGTCCTTCATTAAAACGTGGCCACGGTCCAAACATACTTAAGACCCACGAGGTCTAACAAGGGGCACGACCCCCATAAAAAAAATCTTGAGAGTCTGATCCCCTCCTCAAGTACATCACGCACAAGGCTATACGTAAACACATATAAGCAACGCGTCAAAACATTGTCAATGTCGAAAAATAACAACTCCCACGAGGAGAATACTAGCTCCGTGCTACTACATTATCGTGAGACAACTTCCACGAGGACGTAACTCGATTAACTCGATTACCCCAGAGACAACTCCCACGAGGAGATTACTTGATCCGTGCTACTACATTATCGCGAGACAACTCCCACAAGGAGATAACTCGATCAACACTATTACCCCGCGACAAGACAACTCCCACGAGGAGATAATTCGCTACTACATCGTCGCGGGACAAAACCGACGACTCAATTAACTTACATCGCGACAACCTTGTCGCACTATGCGCCAACGCGCATTCACGCCCCTCCGACACACGCTCCAACGCGTTTTCGCATACCATTAGGCCACACGCCAACGATCGACTTCTACAATTCTTACTGTCGACACGATCTGAGACCCATCACAACATGGCCCCCACATCGACTCGAGAGTGGGGGGCTTAATGATATGCCTAATTGGGCCAACCCAATGGGCCTACAATTTCTTTACCTACTGGGCTACGAGCCCAATATCGAAGACTAAA